GATCTATAGGTCAGGCTGATTTACCCAAGGAAATTTCTTACATTATCAATCATGCGATAATTTACTTAATTTTTGCAATGATTGTAGTATGGTCAGGCAGTCTGGAAAAAAAATATAATTCTGGGATGAATCACTCGGGGGTCACCAGCAGGAGGAAGGAGGTCCTGATTCTTTAATAGATCAATAATTAGGCCTCATTTAGAATACTGTGTCCAGTTCTGGAGGCCTCAGTTACAAAAAAGTATTGATAAGATAGAAGAAGGCCAGATACAGGCAACAAAAATGGTGAGAAGTTTGGGGAAATAAAACACATCAGGAGAGACTTTAGGAACTTAAAGTGGTTGTAAAGGCTTGATGTTTTTTTTACATTCATGCATTTTGTGCATGAAGGTAAAAAACCTTTGGTGTGCTGCTCTCCCCCACAGTCCCCGACCTAATACTTACCTGAGCCCCCTCTCGATCCAGTGATGTACATGAGAGCCTCTGCTGTCCCGGGTCTCTCTCCTTATTGGCTGAGACACAGCAGCGGGAGCCATTGGCTGCTGACAATTGTAGCCAGTGAGGAGAGAGTGGGGGACAGGGCAGAGCCACAGCTTTATGTGTCTTATGGATGCATAAAGTAAGGCTCGGGAGTGCCTGCGGAGGAGAGGAGGCGAAAAGAGGAGGATTGGGGCTGCTCTGTGCAAGACCATTGCACAGAGCATGTAAGTATAATGTGCATGGTAATATCACTTTAAATTAAATCCTAACACTAACTCCTCTTTGTTCACTCCCCCCTTATCCTACCAAACCTGCTTACCCTGTGTTAAAAATATTTGTGTTTTTTTTTCAGAATGGTCCGGTCATGTAATCCTGAAGTTCTGGTTCCCCTGTGTGATGGAGTGTTTGACAGCGCCTAGGCATTCTGGGAACTATGACATCACCCATAGGCTCTCGTGGCCCAGCCAGTGATCCCTCCTCTTCACTGCAACCACAGCTCATTGACACAGAGGAGCCAGACCTGCAGGATTACATGACCAGACTGGAGCATACTAAAATAAGGAAAGTACACATATCCTTTCTCCACGGGGTAGGCAGGATAGGGAGGCAAAAGGGGGAAGGGACATTTTAGTTGGGGCTGGACTTTAATTCCACTTCGATATATACTGTCTTGATGAAAGAAGGGAAAGGTTTCATGATTGAAAACGTAAAGTGGTTGTAAAGCTGCAAGGTTTTTATCTTTTACCTTAAAACCTTCTGTGGTCTGCTCTCTCCCCAGCTTCCCCCCCCCCCCCTATACTTACCTGAGCCTGATCTAGATCTAGTGATGTGCAGGAGAGCAGCAGCTTTCTTGTCTCTCTCTCTTCATTGGCTAAGAGACAGCAAAAGGAACCATTGGCTCCTGTTGCTTTCAATCACAGCCAGTGAGAAGCGAGCCACGCTCTGTGTGTCTATGGACACCTATAGCAGGACTTGGGAGTGAGCACCATAGCAAGTGGCTTGCAAGGGCAGGAGCAAGGGGACCTGAGAAGAGTAGGATTATAGCCAGTGAGGAGACAGAGGGGGGCAGGGCGGAGCCGCAGCTTTATGTGTCTTATGGATGTATAAAGCAAGGCTCGAAAGTGCCTGTGGAGGAGAGGAGGCGAAAAGAGGAGGATTGGGGCTGCTTTGTGCAAAACCATTAAAAAAAATAAAAATCATAGGTTTACAATCACTTTAAAGTACCTCAAGGGTGTGAATAAGGTTGAGGAGGGCAGTATTTTTAATATGAAACTCAAATCACAAACACATGGATGTGTGCTCAAACTAGAAGGAGTTCAAACTAACCTTCAAAAGTATTGTTTTTAGAAAGTGTAGTTGATACTTGGAACAGACTTCCAGCAGAAATAACGGGTCAGTCAAAAGCAAATGAATTTATACATGTTTGGGACAAACAGAGATCTATACTGAGACAAAAAAAACAACACAAACTTGGTCTTTTTCTTCCATGTTTCTAATGTACACAACAAATTCTTGTATACTTATTTCATTTGCACATGATTGGGTATTCAGAGTAAACAGGAATTTGCTTTACACAGTATTGGATAACAGAAGTGAATATTCAAACATTTTTTTTTCTTTTTGTGAAGCTTCTTAAATCCTTTAGAAAAGTGGCACAATTGTACACTGAATATGTTTGGTGTATGCAAGATTTATAGTGTGCACTGCACAAGATAGAATATTTGTTTTTTGGTTACACCATAGCACAGAGGGTTTTTTTTCATATATTTACAGGTTTGAAGGAGTCAATTAGCTCATCCTTTTGAGGTATATGTGCATGCAATATTTATGATGTGTTTTTTTTTTTTTGCATCTATTTTGGTATTTACTGTTATGGGTATACTGTATAAAAACTGCTATATTCTGGGATAATATGTAGTCAGAAAAAACAAGTATAATGAAATTCCCCAGTTAAAGTATTTTAGCTCTATGTGCAATACTTTCATGTGTGTGTGTGTCTTCTACATGAAACCCTCTGTGATGGAGGATGCATGCTGAATAGCAGATTTCTGAGTTATGTTCTCTAAATTATCCCATGCTCAGAGAGCAAGTATTGATTTTGAAAATGACTGAGGCAGCCCTCGTACTACAGCCTACTCCCCCCGTCATCATCCCCCAAAGCACAACAAACACGAGTCATGTGTTTCAGCCACCAAAGGGGACCTGAGCTGGTATTGTTTCAAAAATAAAAAAAAAATCATGAGTCTGCCAAATTGCAATCAGAAGTAATGCTTGGCATCAAAACATTTTGTTTATGGAAACGTTCCATCTATGTCCACAGTAAGAAATCTCAAAGTACAGTACATGTAGTTGAACAGAAAATGTAACCTTCATTTTATTGATGACTGATCTATTGTGGCTGTAAATAATAGGTTTTGCTATAAATAATAAATAGAATTTTAACATGCTTGAAAATAATCAGATGTAGTAGGTGATAAAGGATATACTGTACATAATGTATGGTATGTGCAGATAACAATGATATTACTACATGAGCTGGTATTTTACTAACATATCAGTGCTTCGGTATAAGTAGACACTTAAGGGGTCTACTTATCAATGTATTCAGAGCCACCATTAGGAATTGTGGGGCCCCATACAGCTTGCCTGAGAGGCACCCCCCCTCCCTCACACATAAACATACACCCTACACAGAGAAGGGACTTAAGACCTTATTCTAGGTGCAAAGCAATTACAACAGCTGAAATTCCCAGTATTTAAATACAATTTCCCTGGAAATCATCATCAACAGAGGCCAGGGATTCTCATTTTCAGAGTCAAGTGGAATAATCTGCTGTACTGCGGCTCCCAACAGTTAAATTAGTGTTCAGGCCAATTCCAATGGAATGATATAGAGGAAGAGACCTGAACTTTAATTTCATTGTCAGGATCCCTGGCATGGAAGGAATCCCCTCCACCAGCTCCCTCCTCTGTCCCCAGCCCCTGCTGCTGCACTGATGGGGCCAATAGAACGTTCATTTTTTTTTCTCTAGGAGTCATGGCCTATGGGATTACTTTTTATGCATCCAAATATATTTAAAGAGTCCCCTCTCCGCCTCTAAGCCCCTGCCAAACTGATGGGACCTGGGCCTAGTACAGGAGGACCACTCTACCCCCCTGAAAACACAGTTTTCCTGTACTCAAGATCTATACATCTTTCTAATTGGATTCAACTGGTTTATGTTTGTATTTTTGAAAAATCTATTTGAATCTTGTTTGAAAATATTTTAAACAGACTTAGTAAATCAGAGTATATTCATTTGGAGAGAAGTTTGCTGATGTCCATATGCAACCAGGCTTGACTTTCTTAACTGCTTTCTACCCAGCCTATAGTAATATGACAGCTGGGCAGGAGCACGTCTCCTGTGCACTCTAGCAGCCACGCTGCAGCTCGATCTGTTACCAGCTGTGTCACCACTGGTATCAAGTGATCTCTGTGACCAATCACAATGATCACATGACAGTTGTACACAAAGAAAGGCTTTCACTCATAGCCATTGTGTTGATTTCTGTGATTGGTCTCAGTGATCACATGGCACAGATAGGGCCAATCACAGCTATCCTAATAGTACATAATGGTACTGAATGGATGCCATTCAAAAAAATGATTGCTTATAACAGTGGTTATTACTGTTATAAGCAATCATAGTGTTTATAAAAAGGTCCTGATCAACTTCCCAGAGTAGTATCACACATTGTCACAGATGTGACAAAAAAGAATTAAAAAAAGAAACAAAACTGTAAAAAAAGGAAAAAAAGTTTAAAAAAAAGTTTAATTTTGTTTTTACATACAGTCACCAGTCAGTCATCAGACAGTATGTAAAAAAAATTGTGAAAAAATTTATGTTTTTTATTTTCTTCATTTTCCCAAAAATTGTGACAAAAAATTATAACTTCAAAAACTCATCATGTCTCCTAATAAATACATTAAGGTGTCCTCTTTCTAAAAAGGGGGGTATTTTTTCTGTACTGGCATTTTAGGGTCTCAAGAAATGTCATTACATCAGGACTGATCAATTTTCATATATATATATATATATATATATATATATATATATATATATATATATATATATATACACAGTGCTCAGCATAAATGAGCACACCCCTTTTGGAAAATAAGATTTTAATCAATATCTCAATGAACACAAGAACAATTTCCACAATTTTGACAACACTGCGTATTATAGAACATTAGTTTAGCTCATTACATGAAAGTAAGGTTAATAATTTAACTTAGATTACACAATCTTCAGTTTTACTCAAATTAGTTGTTACAAAAATGAATACACCCCACAACAAAAACTACTACATCTAGTATTTTGTATGACCTCCATGATTTGTAAGGACAGCACAGAGTCTTTTACGCATGGAATGAACAAGTTGGCGACATATTTCAACATCTGTCTTTTTCCATTCTTCAAGGACGACCTCTTTTAGAGCCCGGATGCTGGATGAAGAATGATGCTCAACTTGTCTCTTCAGGATTCCCCATAGATGTTTGATTGGGTTCAGATCAGGAGACATACCTGGTCACTGATTAATTTTTACCCTATTCTACTTTAGAAATACAAAAGTGGCCTTAGATGTATGTTTTTGGATCATTGTCATGTTGGAAAAGTGTACGACAACCAAGGGCACGGAGTGATGGTAGCATCTTCTCCTTCAATATAGTGCAGTACATAAGTGGATTTATGATTCCATCAATGAAATGCAGCTCCCCAACACCAGCAGCACTCATGCAGCCCCACAGAAGGACACTTCCACCACCATGTTTCCCTCTAAGCACCATGTATTTTTCTTTGTACTTCTCACCTTTGTGATGCCATACAGTTTTGAAGCCATCAGTTCCAAAAACATTTATCTTGGTCTTATCACTCCAGAATACAGAGTCCCAGCAGTCTTCTTCTTTTTCAGCATGGGCCCTGGCAAATTGTAAGCAGGCTTGTTTGTGCATGGGCTTTAGGAGAGGCTTCCTTCATAGACGACACCTATGCATGCCATTCCTCTGCAGTGTAAGCTGTATTGTATCACAGGAATCAATCAACCCAGTTTGTCTTTCTACTTCTATGTAGCTAACTGCAATGAACTTGCATGGTGATTTTATTTAACCCTTCTCATCAGAAGGCACTCCTGTCAAGGTGTTAACATTCATGGAGGGCCTGGATGTCTCTGAGATGGTTGCAGTTACATCTTTGTTAAATTTTTGTATCACTTTTGCTACAGTATTCTGACTGATAAGTAAAGCTTTGCTGATCTTCTTGTATCCTTCACCTTTCTTGTGTAAAGAAATTATTTTCTTTCTCTGGCCTTGTGACATTTCTCATCCATGTGGTGCCATTGCTGACAGCATGAAATGGGAAGGGATTTTCTTTGTTAAGTAACACCCTTTTATAATCAACTGTCTGCTGGACACCTGTTTAGTGAATAATTAGACTCACCTGTAATTGAGTTCTTGTTAATTAGGATTTTATTGTCTAAAATTTAGCTTTGCTCCTAAGACATTGATGTGTATTCATTTTTGCAACATGGTCTTGAATGAATTTGTTAGGAAAAATACTTTTTTTTTGTGTGTGCAAATTAACAAATCTTGTTTGCAATCAAAGGCCTGCATTTGTGGAAGTTTTTTGTAGTATAGTGTCCCATAGAAGATGTTGATTCTGAAAGGAAAGTAAAGGTTTTCTGACAAATCTGTTGGGATTTATGCTATATATATATCATAGTTTGTAGACTCTATAACTTTCATACAGACTAAATAATATACACTGATTTGGGAAATTTTTTATAAAGAAATAGCAGAATACATTTTGTCCTAAATGTTTCAAGAAAGATTATTTATTTGCAAAATTTTGTGAGAGAAACTAAGAAAACTGTTTCTTTTTCAAAATGTTCTGAATTTTTTTTGTTAATATAGAAAAAAAACTGAACAACCCAGCGGTGATTAAATAGAACCAAAAGAAAGCTCTGTCTGTCTTAAAAAATGATTTAAAAAAATTCATTTGGATACAGTGTTGCATGACTGAGTAATTGTCATGCAAAGTGTGACAGTGCTGAAAGCTGAAAATAGGCCTGGGCAGGAAGCGGAGGGGAGATGTTTAATATTGAAGCTGTTAAAGTATATGTAAACCCTAATAGTGGACTTTTCTTAAGTGCTCCCTTATGCACTGTTAACTATACTATTGAAAGGGTTCTGTTTGATAAGTGCAAAATCATACCAGCTGATGCTGCCAGAAATCTAGTGAGTAGATAACTTTCTGTGCTCTCTGCTTGTACTGCAACTTTATCAGTTGTGATTGTTCCCAGCTCTCTGTGGACCAGAGAACACCCCCTTGTAATAGAAAATAGGAAAGGGGTAAGTGTTCTGTAGACTTTAAAGTAAAACTCTGTGCACAGAGCTTTTTGCAATTTCTAGTTTAGAAGTCTTATCTCTGCTCAAGTGTATGCCGTGTCCTAATCACTGCACTGTACTTTGAAATTCTATATTTTTTGTTTTTATACTGGATATTACAGCTCCCATGGTACATCCAACCTACTCCAGATATCAGAGCTGAGAGTCTCATAGACAGAAGTGCTAGTGTCAATTATCTGCCTCCCCCTTCTCTCCTTGGCCAGACAATGCTGTGTAATCTGTGAATGGTTCAGCCCCCTGCAGTTATGCCTCCAGTTCCCCAACTATAATGAAAAAAAATACATATTAAAAAAAAAGGGCTGCTGAGTGCCTGGGAGGAGGAAAATTACGCTGTCAAAGCAGAGGAATTGCAGGCATGCCTGGCTTCTGCTGTGTGTGTTGCCTCAGCACAGCATCAATTATTATTATTATAAATAATAAAGGAAACAAAATAAAAACATAAATAAAATATTAAAAAATAAACTAACAAGTAAAAAAAAAAAAAAATGGTGACTGAGAATCTCCCACTCTGGTGCAATCCAGGCCAGGAACTTTTCACTAGAATATATAGAAGGGGAGCACAAACAAGTTGACCAAATGATAAAGAAAAAACAAAAGCTCAGTGCATACCATGCAAGACCCAGTCAGTGATCCAGCCTGAACACCCAATAGTTTAAGGGATCCTTGCTGTTACTATATTAAATATTATTTTATTTTAAAGAAACAATAGCCAAGAAGAGCATACAGTAGCTGATTGGTATGTAAACAACCTTGTTAGCCAGCAATATAAGAGGAGAGACCAGGCAGGTTTTACCTTGAATATTAGAATATATTATCTGAGAGTCAATAGCCACAAACACCACACAGACAACAAAACTGTAATCACAAAGCAAGATTTATTCTGTAGTAAGATCAAAAATTTGGCAGCTGAGGTCCAGCTGCAGAGACATTGTGTAGCACCAGTGCCTAGAGCACCTGTATAAATCACAAACTTGTAGACACAAATTAGTTACCTTTTAGCAAACATTAGAAATTTGACAGCTGTGGTACAACTGTGGGAACATTGTGTGGCACCTGCACAGTGCAGTAACAGTGGAATAGGCAGCAAAAAAAAAAGCAAGATTTTCCCTACAGTCAACTTTTCAAAATTGTCAGCTGAGATCCATCTGTTGTAATCCTAACAGTGCTGAAGCATTAAAATAGGCCAGAAGATGAGAGGAAATAGTAGAAGTTGCTGTTTTGTTTTTTTTTTGGGGGGGGGGTCAGATGACATTAACTGGTCCACAATGTCAGGAGACAGGTGGATATCTCTCTACTGCTGCTCTGAAGGCTCTCTCAAAGAACACACTGGCACAGCTAGTGCATTGGGTATATGTGTAATGTCTCAGTTGCTGCAATAAAGCCCCATTGTGGGTCTTTCTGCATTTGCATCTATCAGGGACAAGCAACTAGATACTCAACCTTTTTGGTTATGACTGGCACGGCTAGAAACTCCAGTGCTTACTGTGCAAACGTCTACCAATAATCCAATCTGGACACCCAATTGTCCATTGGGTCCTCACCTTCTAGGAGTGTCCACCTCAGCCCTGGACCCCACATAGTCAGTAATCATGTGGTTCAGGCACTGCTGATGTGTAATGCTGTAGCCAAACCTATCCACTCTGGTTGAAAAAAAAGAGTTGCTGAGGCATCCACTGTTACTGTTGCTCCTTCTTTCATGAGTCAGAGGATTGAAGGCACATTGGCGATGAAAGGGAACCCTGCCACCATCAGGAAATGCAGCCAAAATGATCTTCAACAGATTTAGCACCCCGGTCTATGATTGCTAAAACTGTTGTCCATGGGCATGTGGACAATGCTGCTGACAGCATGGTCCATTGACATGAACAAACTACATTCTACATACTGGTGGCTGGCAGGAAAGGCCACCTGGACAAAATTTAGGCAGCTAGATATATGCCACCATGATGTAGCACATACCATAAACTCATGGAACAGGGCTCACTCCATGAGCTTGAAGAAGAGCAGCTGGGCATAGGAGTGATTAAAGGACTTTTGTTTCTGCTTCTTCTGCTGCTGCATAAGAGATAATTTTCTGGTGAAAGATGCTGCTGGAGATGGTAGGGTGGGTTAAAAAGACAAGGACCCTTTTCACATTTACATTGATTTGGTGTAATGTAAGCCTCTTAAACTCCTTGTGAAACTTCCCTCCCTATTACTAGAGGGAACAGATGTTTTTAGTGAATGCTTTTCTGGAGGGAAGAGGGGTGGAGAAATAAATAGGAGAAGGAGTGCAAGCCTTTTGTTGCTGACTGGTATCATCGATGTGCTGCACAAGGTACCCTAATGGCTGGCCAACCTTGAGCATAGCATTGACTTATATCTGTGGGGCAGTGTTGTAAGGTGAAATAGCTCAGCTTCTCCCTTGAGTTTTCTGCAAGCTTTCTTTGCCCACAAGCAAAATCCTACCTTGCTGCTGGTATGTCTCTCCTTCACTTTCCACCTCTCTAATCAGTGGCACCTACTGTATATACACTGTGCCACTTCATCATTCCCCCCCTCCTCCTACTCAGCAGTAGGCAACAGCTGCAAGAACATCCCTACCTCTTGCTGCTCCTTGCCTAATGTCACATCACTCTATGATCCTCACACTCTCATCTTTATTTGAAGTGGGGAGTTCTTGTGCATGACCAAGTGAATGTTTGTGTGATTAAATAATTCCGCCAACTCCTCCATGCCAGTTTGTGAGGTTATGGCAAGATTAGTAAAAGTGGAGGAGAAGGAAGATGAAGATTCTGCATTAGCAGCAAGACAACTGGCTTCTCTGCACCTGGTAGGGGAAGAAAAGAAAGTCTTTGTCAACCTCTCAACTGACCTAATTTTAAACTCTAGAAAATGCATTATTGCTATGGCAATGAAATTGATATTAGTTTGCCGTGTACGCAAGTCAGAAACAGGCTGGGTTCAGCTGAAAGCAAGCCTCCTCCTTATTCTACACTATTAAAAAGAACAATGACTAGCACTCAATTTAATACAATTATTTTTTGTCCCATTGCAAGTTCTTTGATTGTGCTGCTTAGACAGGGATTGCACATTTTTCATCAAATTACAATGTTACTATATAGTAGGCAATTGTCATAACTATAACCAGTGCAAGAACATTTTTCTATGGTTCCCAAGACAAAGATGCGTGTACCTCATGAGATGACAAAGACCATGTTTCCATACCACACATACACATATAGAAAGGGGGCATAGTAATCACAGCTGCTGTCCACCAACCTTAGGGTTCCAATCTTATAGTCTCTGGAAAGCAGAATGATATGTGGGGCCAAGTCAATGCAATTATAATCATTTTACACTGATGAACCCAGAATGAATCACTGCTGCCAAAGTCATGCCCTGTTGCAGTATGCCTGGCAATAAGTTTTAAACCCCCCTGATTACTTGATTCTGGGGATTTACCTGGCTTAGACATTTTAGCCTGTAAATATACAGAAAACATGTCTGAAGGCTGTATGCAGAATTCCATTACTAATGATTCATGCTGTTATACATTTTTTTTTATATATATGTATATATAATAAAGCGTTTAAGATTAAAATAGTTTTTTTCAGATGGCACAACACTACAGAGCAGAACACGATCCTGTGTGCAAATTGTGTGCAGAAGGGTATTATATATAGTGCAAATCTCTAGTAGTATTTATAGTACACTTTTCAGTCCCAGCATGCC